CTCACTCACTCACTCACTCACACACACACTCACTCACACACACACACACACACACACAGACACTCACACACAGACACTCACACACACACTCACACACTCACACACTCACACTCTCACACCTCCATGCCGAGGCGGATGTCCTCCAGCAGGCCGTCCACCACATGAATGCCCACATCCTCCTGATACGCCACCAGTCCTGCCAGCAGGTTGGCCACGCAGTGGATGCTGTTGTACTTGACGTTCCAGATGTTGATCATGCAGCAGATCAGGTAACTCTTCTCATCAGCATCATGCCAGGGCAGCTTCCTCAGCTGCCTCAACACCTACAGACACATGAGTATGAAGCTCATCGCAGCAGCTTCTTAACATGTCCAGGCCTATTTATATCAAGAATGACATGCAAAAGCTAAATACAATGTTTTTTGTGTCTTTGTCCATTGGGAACAGCCAAAAATAAATATAATACAAAGGTTAATTAATTAAATTAAATTAAATGATTTACATATATTTCATAATATTTGTTTTTATAATATTCTTTATACTGTTATTTTATATAATTTTTCATTGTATTTACACTTTTATTATATACACACACACACACTATTATTAAGTAATAGATATTTTAATAATAATAATATATAATAATAAAATACATATTTCAATAAATTTTAATATTTAAGCTTTTTGATGTATGTTCTAATATATATGTATTTATACTTTTATTACATATACATATAAAACACGCAAACACAATATTATTAAACAACAGATGCTTTTGTAATAATATATAATAAAATGTGTATTTTTTTATATATATTTACGTTTTTAATGTATTTGTAAGTATTTACAATAATTTTTTCATAATATATTAAGTTATTGCAGTATTTTTATAATATTATTTTATATATTGTAATATAATTTAAATTACTTATATGTAATAATTAAAGTTATCTATACGTAAAATGTTTATGAAATATAGACTAGTAATATGATTTTAATATATATATATATATATATATATATATATTAAAACCATAATACTAGTATATAATACAAATTTTAATATATAGTATTTTTATATATTTTTCATATAATTGTATATTTATTGACAGCTTCAGTGATTATTAAGCTTGCTTTGTGTATATAACTCATTCACAATTTTAGTATTTTTAAGTTTTATTTTCATTCAAAATTTTAAGTTTTATTTTCACGCTGCTAATAGGACCAAAACCACATACACACTGCAAAATGTCAGCAGTGACAAAACTGACGCAAAATTAAAATCACACTGTCTAATATTCACTCTTCTTTTGGCCCAAATGATAATAAATGCATGATGTGGGCCACAAAATAAATGCGGTACCGCTGCGTCCCCCGCATGCATGACGCACCTTCTCAGTGGTGACCTTGGACAGGTCTTTGTAGAGGAGTTTGCGGATGTACTCCTGCAGCGGCTGCCTCTTCCTGCGCACCGTCTTCTCCATCGGCGGCGGGTTGCAGTAGTAATAGGCGTTCTCCACCATCGTCACGTAACGCACATCCAGATGCTGAGCCTGCTTCTTACGCATCATTTGCTCCTGTGAACACACACATGATCAACAGCATGAAGACGGCGGCTGCAGGTTTGCATGCTTGTGTGTCTGTTTGTGTGAAGACGGACCAGTAAGACGCTCGTGCACAGGTGAGATTCCGGTGAGCGGAAGAGAAAGCGTCCACACGTCTCCAGCAGTGTGCAGGCCATCTCAATATGATGGTGAGAGAAATCAGACAGCAGCATCTGCACAAACACACACAGCGTTAGAGATGCTGAAATATCATCATGACCCCAATACAAAGATTCAGCAGTCAATGCTATCATCATCAACATCATCATCATCATCATCATCATCACTCCACAGCACTACTGTTACTGCATTTAATATTTTTTAAAGCTTTCCATTGATGTATGGTTTGTTAGGATAGGACAATATTTGGCCGAGATACAACTATTTGAAAATCTGGAATCTGAGGGTGCAAAAAAATCTAAATATTGAGAAAATCATCTTTAAAGTTGTCCAAATGAAGTTCTTAGCAATGCATAGTACTAACTATCATTACATTTTTTTTTTTTTTTTAGTATGGACTTCATAGTGAAGCACTACTGCAGACATCCCTAGTTAGTACACACTGTAGGTGTCATCAGACCATTACCTTGAGGCAGTGCAGTGCGTCCGTTTTGGAAAACATCTTGAACTTGGCCAACTCCCCGATGAACCTCACGGTCTTATTCTTGGTCTCAATGTTGATTTGGTCCTTCTTTCTGATCTGTAAGAAATACACACACACACTCGTTCATGTGTTACTTTTGTGTAAATGCTTCCAAATTCTAGTGACCTGCTTACCCAGTCAGCATTTTAGGGCATCCTGATTCTAAAATAGCTCGTTTTGGCACTAAAATACCTCGTTTGATCCTGTTTAGCTAATGAGAAACACACTCACGTGAAATCTGAAATCTCCTTTGAGCATTGAGCTGAGGTCTTCTGCCACGTCAGACATACACGGGTGCAGAGTGGCCACCAGACGAGCGTAGAACGGCAACAGATCCAGCCTGACACACAGAAATATAAAATCATTAATGCACAGCCACACTTCAAATCTGAATGAACACTTGATAAGATCACATGACGGCAGCGCCATCTAGTGTTCACATCTACAGATGCTACGAATGCACACGCACCTCTGTCTGGGCACCGTGAAAAGAGCTCGAACCAACTTCCTGCGGTTGGACTTGGTGTTCATGTTCATGCAGAAATCCATTGCAGCCTGAAAACACACAGGAAAACGTTTGAACACAAAACAGACACGAGAATAACAACCCAGCAGCCCTGTACGATCAAGTGAATGAAAAGAATGACCAATCACAGACATATGTGACCCTGGAGCACAAAACCAGTCATAAGGGTCAATTTTTTCGAAATTGAGATTTGTGCATCATCTGAAAGCTGAATAAATAAGCTTATATATTTGGCAATATTTGGCCAAGATACAACTATTTGAAAATCTGGAATCTGAGGGTGCAAAAAAATCAAAATATTGAGAAAATCATCTTTAAAGTTGTCCAAATGAAGTTCTTAGCAATGCATATTACTAATCAAAAATTAAGTTTTAATATATTTACGGTAGGAGATTTACAAAATATCTTCATGGAACATGATCTTTACTTAATATCCTAATGATTTTTGGCATAAAAAAAAATCAATCATTTTGACCCATACAATGTATTTTTGGCTATTGCTACAAATATACCCCAGCGACTTAAGACTGCTTTTGTGCTCCAGGGTCACAAATGCTAGCGGGAAATGCTGGTATCGTCACATTTTTAAAATTTCAGTACCGACGTCGTTACTTTTGACAACGCTAGTGTTAATTTCGTTAACGAAAACTATGACGAAAAATGTTCATGGAACATGATCTTTACTTAATATCCTAATGATTTTTGGCATAAAAGAAAAATCTATAATTTTGACCCATACAATGTATTGTTGGCTATTGCTACAAATATCCCCCAGCGACTTAACACTGCTTTTGTGCTCCAGGGTCACATATTTATTTTTATTTCAGTTTTAGTCCTAGTAATTTTGGTACTTCATCTTATTTATTTTATATATCAGTTAGTTCCAGTGTAATTTTAGCATCATTGATATACTATTATATTTTTATTACTATTTTCAAGATATTTTCTGTTATCATTCTAATTTTAAAGTTTTAGTAATTTCTATTATTTTTTTTTAAACATGTCTATATAGTTTTTATTAATTTTTATTTCAGTTTTAGTTTGCTATTTTAGTACTTCAAGTAACACGTATTTATTTTTTTTACCAGTTAGTTCCAATGTAATTTTAGTATCATTTAGATTATATTTTTATTAATATTTTGAATATATTTTTATTGTTATTAGTAATAGTTTTATTAATTGTTTGTGTTTTGTCATTTTTATTATTATATTTTAAACATGTCTATATAGCTTTTATGTCTATATGATTTTTCAAGTATGTCAAGTTAAACTAAATGAAAATGAGAAATGTTGCCTCAGCAACTAGCTGAAATAAAGTAAGTTATATTTTATTTTATTTTCAAGTAACAAATGTTTTTCTTATTGCTTTAGTTTTCATTGTAGTTATAGTTAACAATAAAACGCCTGGTTGGTTTCTTTAGTTTTCAGTTAGTTAACTTCATTAACATTTCTAATTTTGTTTTAAAATTAAGTTTTTCAAATGTTCGTCAACGAGGTTTTTTCCCCTGACGAAAACGAGACGATAATAAAGCCATTAAACGATAACTGAGACTAAATGAACATGCAATATCATTGATGAAAAAAGACGAGACTAGAATGTAGTTAAATGAACAAAAAACTTTACCAAAACCTTTTTATTTTTGCACTTTTTAACATTTCAGACTATTGTTTGCTGTTTGTAACGTTACTTACGCAACCTCTATGCGCACGATAAGTCTTTTTGCCATTGTTTTAAAAGAGAAACATTAATGCAATTAGGTATTATTGGAATTACTATTAGGAATTTCTCTGTTATAATATTTGAGAGTAGGTTTTTGTGACGCAGGTTTTCATAATGTAGACAGTGCGAGTGTATATCTGAAGTCTTTGGTGTTTATTTAGCCTCTAATTGATATCCTGTTATAAATCTGTACACTAACGTTAGAAGAGGTGAAATAAACCATGCATACGAGTCGATATTCTATTGATTTGTGCTTATTGGTGCTTAACTTCTGATGAAATGTAAACATTTATTTCCCAAGTAACAACAATCACTGCAATTAAAATTTAGCAAAATAATATATTTTTTTCATAATTTTTCATACAGTAAGACGAAAATATGACTAAAACTAGACTAAAATTCTCAGACATATACCCCCGGTTTCACAGACAAGGCTTAAGCCTAGTCCTAGACTAAAATGTAAGTCTGAGCCGTTTCAACTGTTCAAACTTGCACTGACTGATCTTAAAACATGTCAGTGTCTTTGTTTTGTCTTAAGATGCACACCAGTAATGCTTTTTTCTAAGGCATGTTTATAAAAATTACTTAAATGTCCTAATTGAACTATGGACTAATTCTGGCTTAGGCTAAGCCCTGTCTATGAAACCGGGTCTTAGTCGACTAAAACTTGACTAAAACTAAAACAGGACAAGTTGACTAAATATGATAAAAACTAAAAGTCACATTTGACACAGGACTAAGACTAAATTAAAAATAGCTGACAAAATGAACACTAGACAACACTAACATTGAGCGGTTTTATTTGCTTAAGTATGTTTGTGTGTTTGAACTCTTGACCTTGTCAATCAGGTCTCTGTTGATGCAGTTTGGGAGCTGCTGGATGAAAGCGTCCACGATGAGTTTGAGATGAAAGCCGGTGCTGGCCTCCTCATCCTCCTGCTCTGTACACACACACACACACACACACACACACACACGAAAACGAACGACATGACAATTCAAACACTGACTTATGATAATGAGTTTGCACATATAAATAATTACTGTCACTGGGGGGAAAAAAGCTAAATACAGATAAAGTCGGGCTGCTGGAAAGATCCTGCACTTGCCCTTCACTGAGGTTGTGATCAGTGTGTTTTACTCAGAAAGCATGTTTACCTTGCTCATCCAGTAACTTTTTGGCCAGTTCTTCATTTTCGGCCTCCTCGGCTACGTCCAGATCTATCGGCTCATCAGTGATGTCCAGCGCTTCGACTGTGCAGATTTTTTTGTTTTTTAAATAAAAAGTCCCAAAATGTACACAACATTAAAAAAATCTATCACATAATGCAAATAAGTTGTCACAGAATAAGAACATGTGAATAACTCAATTTTGACAATGTCAGATAGAACCTTATAATTCCAAGGGGACGATATGTGAACTAATAAAAATGATGAAAACACCCAACAAAATAATAGCAATTTTTGCTAAAATGAAAATAAAAACAGAAAATATAAAAATAAAAACATTATAAATATTAATACAAATTTATAATATAAAACTAATAAAAATGTCAAAAACAAACAATGAAATTACTAAAACTTTAACTAAAATTAAAATGGAAAAATAAAAACTAATTTAAAATATGAATGAAAACTAATCATATAAAACCAATAAACAACAAAATTACTAAAACTTTATCTAAATGTAAGGTGGAAAACGTATGAATAAAAACTGATTTAAAATATGAATAAAAACTAGAATACATATCCAAATGATATTAAAACAACACTGCTACTAAAATTGCTAAAACTGAAAAAAATAAATAAACGCTAAATAGATAAAAAAAAGACTAAAACTAAAACTACTAAAGAGGAAAATACACAAAAAAAAGCTAATTCTAAATATTAATAAATGAAGAGTTCGTTTGCAAAAACCGATAAACGACACTTTAAAAAAAAAAAGCTGATTACCGTGCATTATTCTCTGCATATAGCGCGATCTGAACCCTAAACACGTTTTGTCAAAAAAGCCGGTTTTGTCCACTTTCAAGGCATCGCGAGTTCACGTTTTACTGCAGAAGCCGACAAGCGCCTTGTTGTTTTTGAGCAGAAGCCGATGAGTGCATTTCAGCGAATCAGCGCGCTGTATTCAGGTCAGGTGACAAGGCTACTTTCACTCTGAAAAGACGTGCTAGCTGAGAGGAGTTTCGTCAAAGCTGACTAAAAGTGATTGAGGATCATTTCGACGAACTTGATGAACCTGTGATATCTTCTTCAGGCTGAAAAGGAAAATAAAAGCTGAAAGGTTTTCACGGAAGCTTGCAAAAGCAGCGCATTACAATGTTGAGGGAAAAGCTCGGTGTATTGCGTGTAATCACATCCATACAGTTTATGATCACAACAACAACAACAACGTTTGTCAGGCGTCTACATTATCATCTGAGGAGATTACAAAGATTAAACCAGTGTTTTTTAAACTCTAAAACTTGAAATGTGGAGTTATCTGCTTTTGCTATAAAACAAACTTTTAATATGTAAAAAAAAAAAAACATACTTTCAATGAACTTTCATTTTGTAAATTACCTGTATTTGTTTAAGTTATTATTACTTAATCAAAACAACTCAACTGCAGTTAGATTGATATTACTTGGAATGCGCAATAAAAAAAGTTATCGGAGTTATCGGTTTTTGCAAATGAACTCTTCAAATACTATAATCGTATATAAATACTAGTAAAATAACACAGGATGCTTCTAAACCATTCAGTACCTTTGCTGGTCTGGCTGCTCTTCTCGTTGTCCTTGAAGAGGATAGCAGGAACAAACGCCTTCAGATCCACCTTGTTCTCGTAGAAGTTACGCGCGTCCTCGTCCTCCCAGATGCCTCCTTCCAGATCGTACTCTCCCGGTTTCCCCGGCGTAAAGATATCGATGCCCGGACCGTGTTCTGCCACACAAATCAACAACAAATCACGCGCATGCCGAGACAAGATCTCACACAGATGAAGCCGTGCCAGCGGTCGCACCTTCCTGGATGGATTTGTCCAGAGGAAGTTCAGGCATGTTCTCGTCCAGCAGATCAGCCAGCGTTTGCGTGTTCGCCAGCAGCTTCTGATAGGAGGTGGCGAACTCCTCATACTGCTTATGTCTGTCCTCGCTGAGCTCTCCTTTAGACTGCAGGATACGCCTGCAGAGAGACACAAAACATTATTATCACCATTCAAATGCAGAAGCACGTCTCAGAGCAACACACAGCACTGTTTCTGAATCTGCATTTTTGAACGGGTTGAGTGAATAATTCAATGACTTTCTGAAGGGATCAGCTGTACTGAAAGAAAGATTGAGTTAATGATTCAATGACTCTCATTAAAGGGATAGTTCACCCAAAACTGAAAATTCTGTCATTAATTACTCACCCTTTTCTACCCCTTTAACATCTTTAACACCACCTCCTGGTGGTTTTAGTTTCATATTTAAAGTAACATTACATTGCAATATTTAAAATGTTATTTTTAAAATAGTAATTTCATAACATTATTTATGCAACTGTAATTTAAGTAAATGCAGTTATGCCAATTCTGAGCTTCATTTATTATTTCATTTATTTTATTATAGTTTTTATTAGTATTTTTAAATAGATTTATTTTCATATTTTCTGTTTTGATTTTCATTTTAGTTAAGTTTTAGTCTTTTGGTTGGGTGTTTTCATAATTTTTATGTTTTATTTTATTATAGTTTATTCATATTTTGAATTAGCTTTTATTTTTCATATTTTCTGTTTTCATTTCCATTTTAAAGTTTTCGTCATTTTTATTAGTTTCATTTTATTACAGGTTTTATTCATATTTTTTTATTTTTATTTTACCTACAGTTTTAGTATTTTTGTTGGGTGTTTTTGTAGTTTTATTATAGTTTTTATTTATATTTGGAAATTTCATATTTTCTGTTTTCATTTCCATTTTAAAGTTTTAAGTCATTTTTATTAGTTTAATTTTATTATAGTTTTTATTAATATTTGAAGCAGTTTTTATTTTCTATTTTAATTTTAGTAAAAGGTTTACTAATTTTCTAGGGTGTTTTTGTCATTTTTATATAACATGTCTACATTTTTATTTTTTATTTCAGTTTTAGTTATTTTCGTATATAAACAAAAAAATTTGAAATGTTGCCTTGGCAACTAGCTGAAATAAGTTTTTTTTTTTTTTATTACTTTTTTTATATTTGACAGTCAGATTGTGTCATATTATTCTAAATGAATTAATTGATTAAATGCATGAATTAGACATAAAAGATGATGCATACATGCTTAGAGACTCACATTAAACACTATGAAAGATGCAGAACAAAAACCTCCAGAAATTTTGATCTCTAGAAAGTAATTTCAGTATATCGGAATTGAAATTTTGTGGCATCAATAATTGAATCATGAGATTCCAAACGATTCCCAATGGACCCCCTTTACAGACCGTTATGATGCATTTCCACAGTTATTAACATTATTAACATTGTGTAAATGGAAGATTTTTGCTAAATGTGAAAAGGGTCCATATACGAACTGACCTGTTCTGCCTCTCAATGATCTGCAGCTCTCGGTGGTCTTTCTTCAGGTGTTTAGTGAGAGAGGTGAAATATTCTCTCAGCAGGTTCTGGAACGGCTGCTGTTTCTCCGCATTAATGATCTGACTGGGAGGGAAGGATGAGCTGAACTTCTCCACCGCGTTCTTGACCTTCCGTGGCACCAGCCCGGCAATATCGTCTCCGCAGTGCTTGCAGAAGCTGATGATGACGGAAACGTGAGTGTGCGTCTCTCGGTCGGCACCGATGATGTTCTTCAGCTGCTCGTAGATGAGCGACAGCCCTTCTTTATCCGTGAACAGACCCACGATGGTGAGCTCGGCGATGAAGCGCAGGTCGGTTCGTAGTTTGCTCACGTTGGGCGACTTCTTCTCCTTCCTGGCCTCGAAGTGTCTCTTCCAGGCGGCAAGGAGATGCGGTGCGAAATCAGTGTAGCGCTGGTGGAAGAGGGAGCAGAGATGCACGGCGCAGCCCACGTCCGAGATCTTCAGCTTGGCCTCCACCATGGAGCTCACGGCTTCGCCGATGTACTTGCTGAGGTTGAGCGAGTCGAAGTCCTGCGACAGCGAGCCGCGCTGCTGCTCCGTGAGCGTGCGGAGCTTCTTGACGAACGCCGTGTTCTTCTTCAGGCTGGAGTCCAGGCGGCTGAAGAAGGCCTCCTTGGGACGCGTCTCCGGCGCGTGCTGGTTCTTCACGCGCAGCTCCTTTCTGCCGTGGTGTCGCTCCCACGCCTCCTGCTGGAGCTGTTCCGCCTCCTCTTTCTCCCTGATGAGACACGAAGAACAAACTGTGATTACAAAGCATCAGTGTTATTTCAGTACCAATGATCACTAGTGGTCGACCGATATTGTTTTTTTGACAGCCGATGCCGATATCTTGGAAAGCAGGGTGGCCGATATAAAGCCGATATCATTTTATTTAACATTTAAGAAATTTGAAAATTGATTAAAAAAAGTTTGCGTGCATTGGGAATCATATTTTTTCAAATAAAGCCAAGGTAACACTCGTTTTACATACAGCACACAGAGAAAATGACATGAATATGGCATAATTTGAAAATCACGAGTTTAAAGTTTGTCGATCACACGTCTCAATGAAGCTGAACTCTCCTCCTGTCCGCATTCAATTCTCACGGACCGACCGTCACGCAGAGAACACGCGATCATGCAGGATACACATGCACACTTCATAAGATCTCACAGCTGGATTCGTTTGCAAGGTTTTTGAAATTAGATGCTCATTAGTCATTCAAAGATTTGTTTAAATTACATAAATGCGTATTTGCTGAATGCTGAAGGCAAACGAGAAAGTATTATAATGTTTGCCTTTCTATTACTAACAATATATAAGCAATCGTTATAATACTTTTTTGTATACATTTTAATTCCTTTGTTTAACAGTTCTATCTGATTATTAGATAGACAGAACTGTTAACGACGATGGCGAACAAGAGGGAGAATGTGAGCACTGTGTGTTCAGGCGCTGCCCTTCTCAGCGCCGTCAAAATAAAAGTCCCGCCACGAACGCATCGGCCAAACAGAAAAACGTATCGGCCGATGCCGATATTTGCAAAAATGCCAAATATCGGCCGATATATCGGCCTTGCCGATATATCGGTCGACCACTAATGATACTATTATATCTTTTATTAATAATATAAATTAGTTTTATTTTTTCTGCTTTTATTTTAATTTTTGTTAAAGTTTTAAAATTATGTTTTTGTCATTTTTATCAGTTTTTGCTTTATCAACATGTCTATTTAGTTTTAATATTTTTCTATTTCACATTTTAGTTTTTGTTATTTTAGTACATCACGGAAAATGTAATATTTTTTTCTTTGGAACTAGATGAATTTAAAGTTTTTAAATATTTTATTTAATTTCATTTCAATTAATATAAATTTTATTTATTGTTTTTTATGGCTTTGGTTTTAGTTAACTATAATAACACTGCAAAGCAAAACCGCACATTTTGATGAAATTAGTTTTATTTGTATATTTTCTGTTTTATTGTAATTTTGTTAAAATGTTAGTATTTTTTTGCTTTTGTCATTTTTATTAGTTTTTTTTAATATGCCTATATAGCATTTATTACTTTTTATTTCAGTTTTAGGTTTAGTTATTTTACTACATCAAGTTAAATTAAATGAAAATGAGAAATGAAACGATGGATTAATTTTTTTATTTTATTTCAGTTAAAGTATTGGTTATTTAGTATTAGTATTAGTTATTAGTTAGTTATTTTAAATAAAAAAAATGTAATGGTTTTAAAAAATGTAAATAAAAAATACTAAAATATATAAATATAACAAAAATAAAATATAATCAGAATGTTTCATTGGAAAAATTGGTTTCTTGTTGCAACAATCAAGGTTTTGTGTAATTTTCATAGTTTGTATTTCATATTTTTATGTTGGTAAATATGTGAATATAATTTTAAATAAATATGACCTTTAAATACATATCAATGTTCCTTTTGTGTTCCTTTAGTAAAAAGCAAAAATAAATGTACTTTGAAACAATAGCTGCTTTGTCTTTCTTATTGGGGGTTAAAAAAAAAGCTATGATATATATCAAAACAAAAATATAGAGAAATTTGTGCTATATTGCCCAGCCTTCTTACTTGAGCTGTGCAGCCTCTTCCTCTTTCTGTCGTTTGGCTTCCTCCTCCAGAAGCTTCTTCTCCTGTTCCTCCTGCTGTCTCTTCTCCTCCTTCTCTTTCTTCTTCTGCTCCTCCTCTGCCCTCTGCTTCTCCTCTTCTTTCTTCTTCCTCTCCTTCTCCTCCTTCTTCCTCTTGTCCTCCTCAGCCCGTCTCTTCTTATCTTCCGCCGTCTTGCCTCCGTCCTTCTTCGCGCTCATCTTGGTCTCGTCTTTGCTCTTGTCGCGGGACGCGGCGGCCTGTCTGTCTGCGTCTCTGTCCTTGTTGCTGAAGGAGCCCGTCTCTCTCTCCTCCATGTTGACGGACTTCTTACGTTCAGCAGGCATACTGCTACTGCAAAACATTACAGAACAATAATAGTACAAATTAAACCGTATCTGATAATAATTGCAAACATAGAAAGTCAAGGGATGTGTTTGGCATGCAGCACTGTATAATGTTTTTTTAAACTATTTTGCATTTTTAATCAAAATTTGATTTGAAAAATATAATGTATACGACAATATTTTACATTTTGCATATGGCACACGGTTTAAAAAATGATTTAGCATGGATTAAAAAATTATTTGTATTGAAACATATTACACTGTATATAGCATACTGTTTTTTCAAATATTTTGCATTTTTAAACAAAATTTCGCATTATAAATTATTATACTTTATATGGCATTTTTTGTTTAATATTGCACTTTTAATTCAATGATGAGTTTTTTTTAATTGCTTTTTTAAATCAAATTTTACACATGGCATCTAATTTTTTTTTTTTAATTGCACTGAAAAATGATACTGTATGCAGCATACTTTATTATTATTATTTTGCACATGGCTTTGTTTTAAAAAATATTTTGCACTTTTAAAATTTTCTTTAAAAAAACATTGTAATGCATACAACGTACTGTCTCTTAAAATTTTTTGATCTTTTGTTAAGCACTTTTTTAAGCAATATTTTGCATGGAAAAATATTATACTGTATACAATTTGTTTTAATATTTTGCACTTGTAATCAAATTTTGCATATGGCATGCTGTTTAAAAAATATTTTGCATTTTTAACAAATTTTGCATTGAAAAACGGTGCACTGCATACAGCATACGTTTTTTTATTTTGCACTTTTAATCAAATTCTGCACTGAAAAATAGTATACTGTACATGTAAGAGCATACTGTTTATATATATATATATATATATATATATATATATATATATATAGCAGTCAAATTTTAATCAAATGTTGCATTGCATTGAACAATGTGTACCAATGAATACTGTACCAATATTTATACTGTATACAGTGTACTTTTTAATAAGTTTTGCACTTTTACACTTTAATTTTGCATTGAAAGCTATTATTAGATCAAATTCATTAAGAGTTATTATATAATGCCAGTCACAGGATAATCTGTCCTGCTACTACTGCATCCCAGTCTGCTCTGGTTGTATATTGCACATTTTGGCCAAGCAGTGTTTATTTGATTTGTTTATTTCATACACACAGAACATCTACATATAATGCAGAATAGGGGTGTGCGATATTAGTGGCAACACTTTAAAATAAGAGTCCATTTGTAGCATTAAGATTAATGAAAGCTGTTTAAGTATTGTTCCTTGTTAGAGGTTGTTAATTTCAACATTTACTATTACTATTATTATTATTTTTACTACTACTAGTAGTATGGTTCAGTACTGTTTTTGTTAATAAAGCACTATTTTAGTTTTTGTTCAGTATCAATTTTAAAACAATTGGTTAATTAATCGGTATCGGCCAGTGTGGTCCAACCTAGCTATCGGTATCGGCAAAATCCACTATCGGTCAACCTCTATTCTAAATGCATTTTAATAGACTGAATCATGCAGTGAAAGAGCATACTCTAAATGCACACGCACTAGTCTAGACTTCACGTAATGTATGTGTGCGCTCTGTAGGGATGTTTTGAATGGTTTTTGCAAAATACTCGATAATGTCAAATCGCACATCGTTAAAACAACAATTACGATATTATCGCAGACGATACTGACGTAGTCCAGGTCAGGTGGTCTCAGCACCTGCCACGCCTCCTCAAACACACCTGTCAATCACGCTCAGGTGATCAGCTGCCTCAGGTGTGTTTGATTAATTAGTAAATCATTAACACTAGACTTTGCAGGAAGGCGGAACTGAACGTGTCTGGCCGACCTGCAGGAATACAGCTGATCAGATACACCTGTGGGCTCAAATTCTGCCACATTCCGGGTCAAAACACTTTCACACACATATCAACTTTGTATGCCGTTACATGACCTAACAAAGTCTCTCAATTACCAAAAGACTAATGAACAAGCAAATCGACCACATTAAAACAATCACCAACAGCTGTATTAACAAAAGACGACTAAATCAACCAGATAAACATCGTCTGTCACTCAATATAATTTCACTTTATAATAAACAGCTCATACATAACAGAAATCCGATCTTTTAATGAAGCGATTTCATGTTTTAACTGAATGTTTATGAATTAGCATTAGCCGTTAGCTGTTTGAGGCCGCTCATGTCAAATATCAACACGATTATGCCGCAAACAGACTGAAATGACAGAAACAAAGAGATTTTCTGTCAGTCATGTGAATACAGTTGTGTTTTGAAGTAAATGTCAGTCTTACCTCATGTGCTTCAGTTAATATAAGTTTAGTCAGTAAACGACGGCGCTTGATAGTTTTCAATATTAGGACCCCTGAAGATGGCGTCCCCAAAGGTGCCTGATCAAAAACTATTATTCACCTAAAAAATACGCGAGGATTAAAAAAAAAGATAAAATTGCAAACCCAGATAAATACATATGACACGTACATACACCCAACCCTAAATGAAGTACATATCACACATCCAATGTTTAGCTTAAACCCATTTAATTAAAAGTTAATGTTATATGTTAATTTCATGTTACTGTAACTCTTCAGACTGTGAAAACGTTCAGAATCTTTTATTGTCATTTTTTTATTTCGTTTAATCTATCTATCTATCTATCTATCATGTTTCACCTGAACGATATACGTTTGTTATACTTATTTTGCAGAAATTTCCCTTAGCGTTACAAATAACAAATTGTTTATTTAAAAAAAAAAACATACACTTGTACATAATCATTATTCAAACAACTACTTATTAAGGTCATTTTTACAATAGAAAGTATCATAAACCTGAGAAACATCTGATATGAAAAACGAAAAATTTTAATAGTGACATTAAGCTTACAATCACTCTCTCACTCACACTCACTCTCTCACTCACACTCACTCACTCACTCACACACTCACACACTCATACACTCACACACACACACTCACACTCTCTCACTCACACACTCACACACTCACACACTCTCAGACACACTCACACACACTCTCTCACTCTCACTCTCACACTCACTCTCACACTCACTCTCACTCTCACACTCACACTCACACTCACACTCACTCCCACTCACTCACACTCACTCACTCTCACTCACTCACTCACTCATACTCACACACACACACACACACACACATACACACAGTTTCCAATATTTTAATGCCACAAAACTGATCTGTAGCTGTAATAATATCGTGAAGCATGACAAACTCATTTGGAGGGATTCCTGAGCCTGGCTCCACTGGGTTTTGATCATTTGTTCATCATCATCATCTTCACTGTCTCATAAGTGAGTCTTAACGCTTTTGCTCTGGTGGCAGATGCTGAAATATTGCCTGAGGTGTTTAATAAAACACAGGTGAAATGAAACCTCCAGTCCTTTATTGTCTCATGTAGGGGGGCTTGTTTAATGCAGCAATGAAGCTGTGAAGTTTTAACTTTAATATCAGTCACATTCTCAGCAATGATTTCTCTTTAACACAGATCTCAGCCGAGCGGACAGCAGGGTTTGATGTGCCACTGGGAATATTTCCAGGTGAAAATGTCAGGGAGACAAGGTCAAGGACGTGATAATGATTATATTAGGAGCTCATTCTGTAGTATAATGTGCCATCAACTGCACCAACAACACGTTTATGCAAAGAATGTGATCTGTCTTTGTGAAGGTGAACTTATGCAAACACAGATGCATGTCATATTCATCTGACCGCACTATAATTAGAGAAGTCCAGTTCAGTCAGTGCTTCTCAACCAGTTCTGCTTCAGGAACCAGATTTTACACTTCAAAATAAAGGTTGTTTTCACAGCGATTCCATAGAAGAACCCGTTTTGGTTCCCTAAAGAACCTTTTAGTAATCAGTTCTAATGAAAAGGTTCATTTGAATAATCTAAAGAACCTTTTCCACTGTAAAAAAAATCTTTATTTTTAAGTGTTGCTGCAAGTTTGGGTTGTATTTTCTATTACTTTGTGCTTTTGTTCACCTTTTTTGAGAATGAGGTGTTTTATTTTTTATTAAAAAATTTTATTTGTGTTTTTAACTAAAATGAAAATACTATAATAGGGTTACAAAATAAAGAAGCTGCTATCTAAACTATCTAAAAATCTGTTTATTTTATAGATTTTTTTCTCTCGTTCAAATATGATATTTATATTCACTTATTTTCAAATTATTTCTAATTTTGTAAGTATTATGTAAAATAAATATACGTTTTGTTTGTATTATTTTACTATTAGAATTTGTATTTGTTTTTTAACACCTTATTTGTGAAAAATACTATAACAGAATTTCAGAATTAAGAAGCTGCTCTCAAAACTATAAATCTGTTTATTTTACAGATTCATTATTTTATTAAGTTCAACTATTATATTTATTTTCAAATGATTTATTTCTTATTTTACAAATATTATGTAAAACATATATAAATTGCATTGCAATTATTGACATTGTCTAATTTGACTAGCTCTACCTGATTACATACTTAGCTGCATTTTATTATTTGCATTTAGCACTGTTTTTCCTCTGATATCTGCGATCAGAACCCCAGCTAACAAAAATATGTTTCGCTAGCGTTCCAGATTAGTTATAAAAACATGATCTCATATTCTCTCAACATCCAGTTTTTTTTAAATGTTTAAAAAACATTTTTTCTTGGTTATGTGAACATTAGAGAAAAGATTAAGCGAACGTTCTATTTTTATCATTCTGCAAACATTCTGATAATGTTACTTTTGATTGTTCTCTGAAACAGCTGAAACTAGTATGATGTAAAAAAAAAAAAAAAAAGTAAACTAAAATGTTTCAGAAAAACGTGCATAAGCAATGAATATATAATGTGCTAATGTTTTGATGATCTTATTAAAGACCAGATCACTTTGAATAAATGCTCTATTAATGCTGCTGGAAGAAAGTTTGTTCATAACTTTGAGAGAAGCTTGCCAGAACGTTCCCTGTTAGCTGGGACAGTCCTGCAGCCCCTGGCTGAGAAGCACTGCAGTAGACTCATACTCTTGAGACATGAGACGCTTCTCTCAGAGTCAGGCATTTGTAGCTTTACTCGACTCCGGCCGCAGGTCTCCTTTGATGGCTTTATAGAGTCGTAGGAGTGCATTCACCCACAGCTCTCTCTGGTGGCCGGGGCTGGTATGTTGGAGCTGTTGAGCAGTAAACACCATCGTGAGGACGGTGCGCTCAAAGTCGTCCATCCGCAGCGATCCGCGGCGCAGCTCCATCTGAGCACTGAGCCGCTGGATCTCCGAGAGGCTTCTGGGAAGCACGTCCTCACACAGCACCTCCAGAAGCTCTAGCTTCCGCATGGACGCCAGCTCCTGATCGGATATGTGGAGCATCCCGTTCACCGCGTCCATGTACCCTCCCGACCACAACACCTGTGAAACAAATAACAAGAGATTCACCTCATTTGTTTGATCTCATATTGTTTATCAAAGCAGCTTAAATGCGTTCTGGCAAAGTTCTCTCAAAGTCATGCACATTCTTCCAGTTACATTAAAGGTGGGGTAAGCGATTTTTCAAAAACGCTTTAGAAAACT